ATGCAGGAGAACTATGATGGGAAGCCCAACCTCAGAGAAACAAGACTGAGGAAATAGCAGACTCTTTCAAGAAAGTTTCAGCAGACTGTGTGCCATTCCATGTTTCTGAGATTATAAATCAGTGATCATCTAACTTTCTGATTTTACACTTGGCAGAGCCTGTAGTACTCCCCATGATAGACAGGCAGTCAGGTGTTACTTGGTGTGGTCTGTCATTTTGCTGGACTAAGCAGGCAGACTGTGACGAAGTGACAGCACAGCTGGGAGACCTGACACCAAATCAGGCCTCTAGTGGTCCTTGGAGTAGTTCCCTTGTGAACACTGGAGATGGATCACAAATGGGAATTGTCAGGGATGCTATAACTGTTAAAGCAGTGATGAACAAGCTTGGAGGAAGGAAGTTGACTCCAGCAGTATTCCATTTGCTCTGAATACTGTTATTTTTAAAGCACTTTTCATTAGAAGCATGCATAAAAATGAAGCCAGATAGAACCCAAAATCACAAACATCAACCCAAAAAACCAAAACCCATAAAACCCCCAAACCCAATCTGTGGTTCTGCTCCTCTGTCCTGGTTAGCAGAGGCAGTGTAAGGCCCAGTTCTCCTTTGCGTAGCTCCATTTGTTTTAAGCCTTAGTCACAATGTGGAAGACTGAGCTGATGGGAGTTGAAGCCTGATTTAGCCTGAGCATTGCATGCAGCCAGGATTCACCGTCCCATGCTCCTTCAGGTGCTGTTTTTCTCTCTGTCCCACAGTGGCTGGCAGCATTTGTTGTATTTTCTGGCAGCGTTCAGCCGTGGCAGTCGTGATACCCTGCCTACACCCGGGACTTCCGAAGGGTAGCACGGAGGCCAGCAGCAGCCTGTGGTGCCATACAGCACAGCTCATGGCTGCGCTCCAGTGCTCTCTGTGTGTGCGTATGAGATTAGTAGTGCTGCTGGTAGAGACTAATAATTTTTATAGGTGAGAGCCTTGAGTTTACCATTGCGCTCTCAGGCATTGTTTTATACTTTCATTGCTGTTGCAGAATTGACTGCATAAATACAAATGAATAGCAAACATGATTTGGTCTTATTTTTGATTGTGTGTGTTTATATATGCAAATTTGTGTTGCTGTTGGTTCAGGCTGTAGGTCTCCAAGAAAGTTTTCACTGTGATCCCTTTGTGCTGCAAATTTAAGATACCTGATTTTCCATTTGTTTGGAATAAGGAGCGATATCCAGAAACCAATTTACTGGTCTCAAGGCAGTATAGATGTAGGTTTAGCGGAACTCCATGTGAGATACTAATTCATGGAGGAGCTACAGGTGAAAAGAACTGCAAGAATTGATGTTGCCTTCTTGTGGTACTACAGAGTTGTTTTAGACCAAAAAATTGGTAGAATACTACAGCCGATAAATCATTAGTCTGAAGAGTAGAGATGGAAAAGACTTGGTAAATTATTCACTGCATTTTCCTGATAAAGCAGTGTTTGTTTCTAAACCACTTTTATTTCTGCTCTCCAATCCAGACTAATTTTGATGTCCACTACTTCCTAATGGTAATTATTTGCAGCCTGCCACAGTCTCTCCAAGAGAAAAGTACTTTTGTGGTCAAGGCACAAGACTGACCTTCAAGAGATTCAATTTTTATTTCCTGGCTCTGCCTTAGGCTTTGTGACTGGGCTCAGAAGCCTGCTTCTGAACAAGAAACTCGAGGTTCCCTTGCCTCTTTCTCACCTAGATTTCAAATTTGTTTAGACAGGACCTGTCTCTTCCTTTTAGATTTAGTTGAATTTTTCTACTTTTTTTTTTCTATTTCATTTGGAAATAAAGCATGTTAACAAAATCTCTTATTTTGCAGAAAACTGTAATACTTGAGAAGCATCTTAAAGCAGAAATTATTTTATTATAATCAGTCCTCAATGGTGGTAATTCTCTGCTCATAAAGCAGACAACACTAGTTTCCTAAAAACATTAAGGAAAATAATTTTCTGTTTTTCTGTACTTTCAGCTCAGATCTTGCAATTGGTTCTAGGGTTTAAAAGTGTGAGCCCACTGTTGTCGACCTAGAAGAGCTGACACTGACCACTGTGGACTTGACTTTTTGTATGGCAGGAATTCCATTTTCAGTGCCAGACTTTCTCCCTGCGCTGCTTATTTCTTTTCCTGCATAGTCATTTTTGAATGTTATTCTGTGCTAAGAAACTACCAAGTTTTATGATCAGATTGTACAGTAAAGCCCATCTCTAACTTTATGGGAGCATAGGTTTAAGGGAAGATTTTCATGGGAGTCATTTCCTGAAGTAAAATAGAAATAGGGATTGTATGTGAAAAAGACCTTCTCTTCTAAAGAAAAACCTGATTAAAGGTATAGGTACTCAAGTTGAATCATTTTAAAATTGTACATGTGGAGGTCTGTCTGCTTGATGCTGAAGCTTAAAATTGCCGGATTGCTCGATACTGCTGTTATCTTTCAGCTTGAACTATGGATGGGTATACAGTAGTACACTGTAGTGTAGCATACAGTAGTTAGTGCTGAACCAACAATATGTTATACCGATGTTTTCAAAAGAGTTTATACATCTAGTGTCTATAGCTTTAGAAGAGAGATCCATTGTTTGAAAAGAAAGAAAGAAAACAATTTCTGAAGACATGTCTACAAATCAACTATTTGTTTTACGGGGCTGGGTAGTAATGGGTAAGTTGTGCCTCTGAGAAACCTATTAATAACTCTTTGGCACAGAAAACCTGGAAAGAAGCAAAGACAAATTTTGTCTGCTTACCTGAAAAGGATGGTTTTTTTTTATTCTCTTTCCTTCTGGTAAGCTCATAAATGAGCAGAAGTAGTGAAGTTGTCTCAGAACAGTAGAAGTATTTGGTATCTACAAGGTATGATACAAATAAATTAACATGAGGCATGTTGTTTGCAATGTTTTCTTTAAAGTACTAAATCAACAGGAACAGCTAGGATATCCAGATTCCTCCCAGAAAAGAGGACACAGGCCACTTTTAAAACAAAAGCTGACATTGGTTAAGTGGGATCAGTACTCCTGGGAAATCATTCCATACTTCTCAAGGTACTTTACCGTGAAATGCAGTAGGTGGAAACTTTTACCATGAAATGCAGTAGGTGGAAACTTTGCAGGCAAATACTGATACAGCCAGTCAGTTCTTGGCAGATGGTATTCAAATGCTGTATCCAAAAAATACAACATAAATGTTGTGCTGACAGGAACACAGAAATGTACAGAATAGGAACCACAATAAAATGCATTCACATTTATAACCTGAAATATAATCTGATAGACTGTGAAAGAGCAAATGCTTTTGAGAGTTATTGAAGGAAAACATGATTAGCTTAAATTTCCACCCTCCCTTGAAGTCAGTACCATTAGACCAGCACTGGGAATTCATATAAATCACATTTGCAAATTTGATATAGAATATTAGCTTTCTTTGAGAGATCTGATATGTTTGTTGCCTTCAGTTTGTGTTGTCAACGCTTGCGAGTGTGGATTGGCACTGGCACTGCCTGCTGTCAACAGCCCCGCTTCATTCCCTCCTGCAGTTTTCTCTCTTGAGTCTGGGATATCAAAAACACTTTATTGATTGTGCATCGGGAAACTTAATCTGGTTAAATGGATACTGTCGTATCACAGAACAACAGGTAGCTGAAGGTCAGAGTAACTAAGCTGATGCTAGTAGAGGAAGATGTAGAAAGAGCAAAAGCAAAGAGTGGCTGTTCCAATAGGGCAGGTTTCTTTTAACTGTGATGGGAACATCAGAGAAAAACTACCTAGGAAAATGGCAGACTGTCCATTACTTCACATTTTCAAATGAGACAGGATGCCTTTTAGAAGCTGTGTGGCAATGCACAATTTACTAACCTCCATATTTGGGTAAGAGACTGAAATCTAGTGGGCTGTAATGCACGGGAAGTAGGGTGAACAGCCAAACTTTTATGGCCTTTTAGTCTACATTCTTTAAAATAAATTCATTGTTCATCTTGGCAATGGTCTTTGTGGTGAAATCTCCTTTTGTGAAGAACAATTTCAACAAATTTGCAAGAAATAAAACATAAAAATGAATGCATAAGAGGTGTTTCAACCAATTTCTTAATATGAACCTCTAAAATGCATAAAATATTTGTGAGTTATACATATAAAAGCAGAAGGAAAAGACCAAGCCACACTAAGTCAGGTAGCGTATACGATTATTAAAATATATTCAGATAGGATCTAATCTAGTGCCCTTTGAAGTCAGCAGAAATCCTATAGTTGGTTCTTGGACATGAAGGTTCACTAAATGTAGTCTATTTTGTAAAGGGTACTCAGGCTTTTTTGGTGTTTTTAAAATCATGCTGTCAACACAGTAACAGTAGATCTTCACACAGTGTCTTTTGTGACAACTGAACCAGAAACTTAATCCCTTTCAATTGCCTACCTGAACAGAAAAGCCTCTGCAGTGTTGAGTGGTGTGCTCTGAGTATCCAGGCTTTCTGAAACTCCTCCTTCACATGGAGGGAGCACGAAACGTCTGGATTTTTTGCGGGGATTCTGATGAAGTCTCTGTATGCTTAACACTCACATTCTCTGTGTGCTAAAGCATTGCTAGTCACTTAATGTCACTGGTTATTGTTGGCACTCCATCTCTTTTTCCATTCTCTGCATTCATACCTTGCTGAATAAAGCATTAAAATTACCTATAACAAATAAAAAAGTATCATAATACTTACATTCTGGGAAATGCATGTCAGTATTAATAATTCTTCATCTTTGTGGGACAGTGAGTCTTTAAAAATTGTGCGATCTGGAGCGTACAAACCCTTTTGTTTCCCCAGGATGGTAGACTGGTCAAATCTGAAGATTTTATCCAACCTCTTGGTAATGTTTTATTCTGAATTGTAAATTGCAAGCTTAATGTTTCTAAATTGCAGATTTCCTATCTTTTCATTTCTATTTGTGTAAGACTTTGAGCCTGTATTTATGTTTTTGGTTTGTTCTTGATGGCTGTTGCAGGTAATGGCAAACATGTGCAGTGGCTACGGGGGGAGGGTGGGGAGGGCTGGGTCTGGGTTATGGGAGAAGCCCCAGGTGACAAGCCGTATGAACAGATATCAGAGGAGCTAATAGCAGAGCGAGCCAGGCAACAGGCACAGAAGGAGGCAGAAGAACTATGGTGAGGATTTAAGAATCTGAATTCAGGGTCCACTTGGCATAATGGGAGACATGACCTTGTAGAAAGATAGCAGGTAATGGTGGGTAAAACTGGTAAGTATATTTTGTGAACATTTGCTTTCACTTATTTTGGCAATTTTTCAGCATGTGAAAAATGTAATTTTATTTTTATTGAATACTGAAAAACAAAGCCCATCTTTCACAAAAAAAGTGAAGCAAACATTTTTCTTTTGGGGAATTTTGCTAAACCATTGACCGTTTGAAACAGCAATCTGAGTTTGAGATTATTAAATTAGAAATGTTTGTTGTATCACACATCTATGCCCACAATGGGGATTTGGTACATAAAATCCTTTTTAAAATCGGTTTTATTTGCATATTGCTTGTATTAACTCTTATCCCTGAAGTTCAGAAACTGATTACACAAAGTGCCATGCTGGTGTTTCAAGCAGGGCCTCTTCCAGCTTTGGTAGTGATTCAAAAGTGTTCTGGTGCTTGATGTTGTTAGGAAGTCGGCCAGCTGCCTCCTGCGCTTCCTTTTGTAGTGCAGCACTGAAAGTGACACTTTAAATATCAGATTATTCTGTATTATTCCTTCTTGTATCAGATTCTTCTCACTTATAGTGATTGCATATTTAAGCATAGATTAAAAGCTTCAACCTGTGCTCTGCATTCCTTTTACATTGTCGGTACTAATAAACAATCTCATGTAAGAATTTGGCAGATGTTTGCATTGATATTTGAGAGACAATAAATTCCCAATCATGCTTTGCTAGACTGACAGAAAAATCTATTTTTTCAGCCACAGAAGGAAAAATACAGGGTATGACTCAAAGACATCCAAGAAGTACTTCTCTGATTTAGAAGGTGCTATTTTAATTAGTCATTTATCAAAAACTGAAAATGTCTGCTTTCTGGATAGTTTCCTCAAATCTGATTTGTAGTAGGTCTCTTGTTAAATACATTTTAATTCTTTCCTTTTATATTTCTGTGAAGTCACATGCTAATTATTTGTTGCAACCACTGAGCAAGGATTTAAAAAAAAAAATAGTCAGTGTCTTAAATTATTTTTATTTTCAAATTGTTTTCTGAAGGAGACAAAAGGAGGCTGAAATTACAAAGAAATTCCGGGATGCTATGGCTCAAGAAAAAGCCAGAATAGTGGCAGAAAAATGGAAAATAGAAATAGAAGATCGGAAAGCAGCCAAATTGGAGGAGGAAAAAATTCAGGAGGAACTGAAGGTTTGTATTGAGTCATTTAGCTTTTTTAATAGTGTTTTTACATAGATTCAAAGTTCTTGTCACCTTCAGTGCATGTTTATTAATAAGCTTTAAACCCCAGAGTTGTGATTTTTTTATCCTGGGATATACAAATAGCTACGTGGTGTTCACCAGAATAGCTGGGTGAGTGATGTGAAAAAATTAGATCTCATTCCAAAGTGTCAGGACAATCAAACTGGTTATTCAGCTCACACATTAACAGAATTGTTCAGTCAGCAGTGCTGACTGAAACAATGTACAATTGTGAAATGTCTCATTTTAAGTTAGTTTGCTTGAACATATTTTGTGTAGTTTGGATGAGTTGTTCACATATTTAACTTGAAAATTCTGTTACTACTTTCTTTAAGAAAATGAGGGCTGGATCCTTCTCCTACTCAACATATGGGAAAAGTCCAGTTGGCTTTGCTGGGAGAAGTTCATTTGCCTGATTTTTATTGACTTCATCATGAATTTTCTATGAGCTCAGTTATAGTATTTCAATGTTTGTTTGAAATAGTATTTTTTTCATATTCTCTTGTTGCAAAATACGATTTGAAAACTAAATAGGAGAAAACAACCTCTGTCTACCCTTTCCATATTAATTTATAAAGATAAAGTGCTTAAAAATGAGAAAACAAAATATAATTGGTTTAGTGTGCAGAGAAATTATCACAGTCTTCTGAGTCTGGGATGTGCACTCTGGAACTGCACAAGATTGGTGAGGCTGGGCTTCCATGGAGAAAGCCTGTAGCAAAATACAACTCCTAGGAGATCTGCATCCAGTAACTTCTGTCTACATGCCTCTCCCCTGCTGACAGCTTGCTATATCATTTTTCCCTTCCTGGGATGGTGATTAAAGGTTTGGAAAGTGCAGGTAGACTTCCCCCTTGTTCCTCTGTGATGGGAGGAAGACTGAAAAACTCAGTGTTAAATTTGAGGTTTGATTACAAACTAGAGCCAGCAAGTTAATTGTTATTCTATAAACTGTGAGCCTGGGATTTGAGGGTGGTTATGTAGCACAAAGCAAGGGTGGTTCCTGTAGCTGCCTCTGTACAAAGTTGCTGATTTACCTTTGCACAATTAATTTGAATTCATGGGAGAGAACAGGGCCTTTGAATTTTGATGTCGATGAGTAATGAAACTATACCTTTCAAGTGCTTTATTAATGTATGAATAATGAGTAGAGCAACTAATTAAATGCTCTTTCTTCTGCTTTCTAGAAAGCAAAGCCCTCTTGAACAAAGGCTGATACACTGTTCCCTTCTGTCTCTGTGGTTGATTTACAGTGCACTTGATGGGGTGAATGTCCACAAGCCCAGTTATTATTCTGTTTCAAAGAGGCTTTTTCAAAAAGCAGAGTGAGCAACTTATGAGACTTTCAGTGGCCAGCAGTCATAATTTTCTATTAAGGAAAACTAGTCTTTCAGTTGTTGATACAATTTAAAAGGGATAGCACCAAATTCTGCTCATTTTCATATTGATGGAAAGCTAATGTCACAGTGATCTCAGCTCCCACTGTTTCTTGAGAAGTGGGCAGGTATCCTTCATCCAGCGATGTGCCTGGTAGGAGCAAGAGTTGCACTGCTGTAAGTGGGATGAGAATTTGGTTCACTTTCTACTTTGAATTTCTGATACTAAACTTTGGCCAGGATTTCTTCAGCCCTATTCATAAAGTTGCCAACATCTTTATTTTATCAAAGAAACAGAAACCTTTTTTTTTTCCTATAGTTTTCTTTAGATCAAGCATTTGAAGAGAATATTTGCAAAAAATTAAATAAGTGGACCAAAATTTTTAAGACAAGACCCAGCAGAGATGAATACTTTGGCTTCAAAAAAGAGTTTGGAAACAAGATATTATGCCGTAGTATAATCTAATCACATTTCCAGTCCTGAGTCTTCAATCAGGTCTATAATTTGAGTTCTGTTAGGAGGGACTTGGACTAACATAGGGTTCCACTGACAGAGATCCAAATGCAGGACTGATCCCTGGTACTGTAACACCATGCCTTTGCTACTCAGAAAAGCAGCTTATCTATTACTTGGTCTTGAAAGAGCAGATCTTATACATAGTGCTGTAGAACCACTTAAAAATCGTAAAGGTATTTCAAAGACAAGTGAATCTCCCAGGCTAATATGGAAGAGTTGTTAACTTATCTGTCCACTGGCTTATTTAAGCTCACTTGTTTTCCCTTCTCCTTCCCATTTTACTCTTTTTGTAACTACTCTTGTGCAGTGGAAGAAGTACGTGAAATATGTACAAGCTGAATGAGTGGAAAGGTACCTAGACAGGGAAACAGGAAAATTATGTTTCTGGCAGTTGCCTCCGACTACAAAAAGCGAATAGAGCTAAGGTGTTGGGAAAAAGATGAATTAATGAATCTACTCATGTATGACTGCGATCATTGAAATCACGAAGAAATGTACCTTTCATGAATGATTCAGGATGTGGAATGAGATGCAGATGAGTTAGCAAGCCCACTTTAACAGGTTTAAAATATTTAATGCATTGGTAATCATCCTTCTGTGATGATGACCAGACCATGTTTAAAGCAGTCTCCAAACTGGGGTATGAAAATTTCAGTCTCGCTAATGCTTCATCCTCTTGCAGCATTTTGACTTGGGAAGTTGAAACTCTGTCCTTTCTGCTGATGTGTTTAGTTTCTAACCGTATTGTATCACAAACACTCCTTTTTAAAACGCTCTTATTCCTCTTGACCTATCATGGGACTTTAGGGCTGTCTGCACTAAATAAATGATATCTCACATATCAAAGTGAATGATGATCCCTGTTTCCTTTTCCAACACTATTAGAAAAGTATTGCTTTCCTTGGTGTTTCTTAAGTAGAAATGCCTTTAGTTTATGATGCTAGAATATAAATGTTGACTGCTCTATCTTTGCAGTTTAAGGACAGCTATTCTTTTATGCAGCTATTGCAAAGGACAAATAAGAGAGCCAATTACTATCATTAATCTTTTTGCTAATTCACAAAGGCTATGAGATCATAGGCATAATTTCCTAATGTTATCAGTTGCTGTCATTAAGAGTCCTGAACAATGTGCAGAGCTAAGGCAAATTAAAAGTAGGAGTGTCAGCCAGCCAGGGGCGGGTGGTATCCTTCAGCTACATTTAGAAATAACAGAGAAATACTCTCTCAGTTCGCTCTTCATGTGGTCTACACAAAGCAAGAGAATATTAATAGTAAAGTATTATCTGTGTGACAACATCAGATACCTGCCAAATTTAATAATATAAGCACAGTTGACAGTAAAGCTAGATTGCTGCTTAAATATTCCTTGGGAGATGAAGTGTGTGTTAACCATTTGTGGCAGAACTGGACATTGTTTTTCTTCATGCATCAAAAAAAAAAATTAGTAGGAGTTTTCATGGCGCTTAAGGAGAAATGATCCTTATTCTCTTGATAGGCAACAAGACAGCAACAGTGCATTATAATTGCCTTCCACAATTTTTTTTTTTGCATGCAAAGTCATGACCTTTAATTCCAGTTGGGATTGTGGTGAGAGCTCTTTTAAGGTGTGCATCCAAGAGCTTCTGTGTCCTGGCTGTTTCCATTCTCATCAAAGAAGACAGGTTTAGAATCGACCTTCAGAGAAGAACAGAATAATTAGTGCTTCAGTTCAGGAAATCTCTAATAAGGATAGCTTATGTTTAATAGAAAGAACACACTTCAGTCCTGTTGACTTGGATGGGCTTTCAACATGTCTGAGTGCTTTACTGTGCCCAAAGGTGCTGTGGATCTGATTCTTCAGACAATTGCTGCCAGGTGTAGAGTTTAGGAATACAGTAAAATGTCATGATCACCACTTACAGTACTGTGGGCTTCTTATGATACAGCAGTGAGCATTCTGTCCTGATCTGAAAAAAACCCTTGTCTCCAAGTAAACATCAAGCACTTGAATGGGCCTGTTATCTTTAAGTGCAAATAAGCTGTAAGTTCAGCTCTGTGCCAAGAAAACGCTGAAC